TTACTATTCAAAAGGATGAGTGAAACCACACATGTCTTCTGAGGTGTTATAAGTAATGTTTATAATGCTTAAATAGCCATAAATAAGAAAAAAAAGTAACAAATAAAAGACTTTGGGGACTATTTTGCCTTACAACGCCCTGCATGTACCCCTCCACCATAAATTAATTGGAAGATTCCCCAAAACTATATATCAAACCAACTATAAATATGTCTCAGGAACAGTTACCATTTTAAGTAATTGTCTTCTGTGGTGAAGCTGTCAGAGCAATTAAACTCTTCAGATGTCTGGTTCCCATCACCACCACTGTGAAAAATTCTGACTCTACAAGCTTCTATAACAAAGTATTTCTCATCAAAACCATTCTGAATGGCTTTGTTTTTATCTTAAGCAATTAATTATGCAGACATTTTTTTAAAGGATGCAACCGTTTGTAACCTCTTTTTTGTTCTCTGTAGCTGAGTAATAACAGGTTAAGGGCAAATAAACCACAATGATGCTAGATGATATGCAGAATTAGTCAGGCGGGGCACACAGGTGTGGGAGGGCGCGGCATTTCTCCATATTTGCGGGATATTTGTGGCAAGATACGAGAAACCGTGTCAATGCGGAAAGCAAAAAAATCTCTGTGGTAGCTGAGCATCCAGCACAACCCACACAAGCTACGGCTGAAACTTCTTGCGGACAAAAAAAAACAAGGCCTCTTTTGTATCTGCAGTTTCCTAACCAGTCGCGACCGAACCGCCCTGCTCTCGTTATGAGGAGGCGTCAACAGCAATCCCTAATATAGCAGAGGGCGCCCGAGAGGCACACCAGCAGGACGTTGCAGGCGTCAAATGAGATAAAATTTCCGGGAAAGGACGGAAGGTGTTTTGCTTAAGGATGCAGCGGCTCGATGTACAGCTCTTCAGGCCTAGAGGGCAGGGATTGTGGGGGAAAGCGATCCAGCAGGCTGATCCCAGCTCAGCTGTCAGCGCTGCAGCTGGCACAAAGGGACTTGTGACAATCACACCATTCCGACCTCTAATCCGCCCACTAATCCAATCAGTCTGGCTCTGCACTCCAATAGTGAGACACAGAGGATGAGCCGCAGCTCACAGATCAGGATATAGACTCGGGGAGCTGGCACAGAGTGACCAGAGCAAAGGAAAAAAAAAGTTCCTGCTTAAAATGATGTATTTTCATTCATTAAGTCCATAAGCCAATTAATTGGCTAAACTGATTTGAGAAAGGAAAACTGACTATAAATCTAAATGAAAAATAACAATAGTTAATGGTGGGCATTATAGCCCATTTTACATGTCATATCAGTACACAATGTCACACACTGTTCATAATTATGACTGACTAATATAAAGTTTGATTCAAATTCAGCTTAAGAAAAAAACAAGGGGTGAATTTCTCTCTCTCTCTCTATATATATATATATATATATATATATATATATATATATATATATATATATATATATATATACACACACACACACACACACACACACACACATTAACTTCCATTACAAGTTTAGAAAGTGTTTTCCTTCTCTTGAATGGGATTGTTCGGACAGTGACTCTATATATAACATTAATATTACATAATATCCTTGTGTGTGTGTGTGTGTGTGTGTGTATGTGTATATATATAGCGCTGCTGTCGGAACAAAACCTCGTATCTCCAAAATGGTAACTTGAGAAGGAAGGAAAAGGAAAAAACCTACTTCACTTTCAATGCAAGTCAATGGAACCAGAATTTTTTCCAAGTCATTTCGGGTCGTTTCTTTTGGTCCATTCATGATGAAATTTACACACAATGTAAAGGCCAACAGGCATTTTCAAATTATGTCGAAAACTGAAAAATGACAAAAATGGAGATACAAGGTTTTTTTCCAACAGCAGCATATATACACATACATACATACATATATACATACATACATACATAGACACACACACACTTGTGTATATCTGTGTACATATGGTTTAATTACAGCATATGGGGAGAATTTTGCAAGGAGGTCGGGAAGCACAGGCCTAATGGAAACTGTACAGAACACCAGTCAGCGTCCAGAGTCACCATGGTAACAGGAGGCTGTGCCCGTCCACACCTGAAGCCGTCCGACGTCTGACCAATGGCTGCTCTGCACAGCATGGGCAGCCCAGTGTGGAAGGGCCACGGCACAGAGACACAACAGCTGCCCGAAATCGCTGCAGGAGACAGGACACGCACAACAACCTCTACGGCTGCACCATCACTCATAAACCCAGCCCAGCACATTATTATCATTCAGAGGCTGGAGTTTCACCTTTACGCTCGTCACGTATGGCTCCCTGTACAACAGTATTACAGTACCGGTGGTATGAAATAACGGTACAATATGAGAGAATATCACCGCTTTGAAATACACACCAGGTTAAGCGTAACTCTGCTGTAACTCTTTACAGGCTGAGGACGGAAAGTAGCCAGAGAAAAGTTGATCCCTGTGCTTTTAAAGCTGGGTCAGGCTCCGTTTGCTGAGGTCCGTTTCTGCATAAGTGAGCACACAAACCCTAGTGCCTGTTCAAACACACACTCTCTCTCTCTCTCTCTCTCCCTCCCTCCCTCCCTCCCTCTCTCTTTCACTCTCTCTCTCTCTCTCTCTCTCTAGCAACTCATGACAACGGCCGCAGCAGCACTGTTTGATCTCCAGTGTTTTCCTTAATCTGGGTTGTCAAGGTTCGCTTGTTGAAGGTTGTTTACTTCTCCTACAAAAAAAAAAAAAAGTTTTTCACTCCGTCTTTTTCTCTCTTCTTCTTTCAGGCAATGACTAATCCGAAGGACTCGGCTCTCCCCAGTCTAAATTCAATATCTTTCAGCACTGGTGCCATAAAATCGTACAGTAGTTTTAAAATGAATCAATGGTCAAACTGAAAATAATGATTAAGAAGTTTTTGTTTATATTTTTTCCTTTCCTGTTTCAAACATAAAATGTGGCCTACATTACTGCACCTGATCACGTGGGAGACAAGAAAAAATTACTCTAGATGGACAGATACAGATAAACAGATACAAAATGTGGGAACCACAGTAGCAAAAAGAACGTTTCACATGACAAACACACAAATTACACCTAGCACACACATGTAGATCTATGTATAGCACAAAGACCTGCACAGAGCAGTGTCACTGCATATATATCACATTTGAATTAAATAAACAAATTAAATTATTACAAATATTATTATTTCATGCAAACACTGTGAGCTGAAGTGCACGAACGCATTTCACATCAACTGTAAATAACATAAAACATCAAATGTGCTCTTCTCAAGCGCCCTGATTAACTTAAAGCATTTTCCTTCTGACATTATTAAGCAGTAATTAGAAAACCTGTCATAAACACCTACACAGCATTTGTCTAACGCTGCATTTCAGTGTTTGGCTTTTAATTTTTTTTTAACTATTTACAAAAAATCCAATTATTCACACCCAAAAAAAAAGGTTTCTGTCCACCACGAGGCTCAGTTTAAGAAATGGACGGGCACATGTTGTACTTAATTGAGGAGAAAGAAAACAGGAACCTTAAGCAACTATTCTAGCAGGGAGAGAAAAAAAAATATATGAACTTTCTCCACACGGTCATGTCGAAAAAGCAAACTCACTCGGTTGGGACACATTTTAGGCTGCTGAGGTTCTGGAGCAACTGCACGGGCTTCACGAGACGAGGGAGCTGCAAAAACTTTAAAAACTTCACGCTGCAAAAAAAGTTGCTAGGCAGCAGCAACAGAGCTCAGACACAGGGTTGGAAATAATGCAAATATTGTTCAACCTGCAGCTCCACTCACTACACTTTCACTCTTGCACTGTTAGAAATAAAGGTTCTGCGCAGGTACGTGAAGGTACAAACAGTGCAAATGTTCCCTCAGAGGTACAACAGTGGTTTCAAGGTCTGATTGTGCACCTGAAATAAGTTTTTCCAGGTGAAAAGTTCGCATTTGTACCTTTTCATAACCGAATGTTTTAAATCAGAACCGTAAAATAAAAGCCTGGAGACGAGACGGGGTGTGTGGAGTCAGTACAGCTTAGAGAATATCATTTAAATGGATTATGGTTCAGTTATGTTCCCTGACTAAAGGTACAGAGATGTACCCTTGAGGGTCCCACGCCAGTGACAAGAGGGGTCCTGCCCCAGTGACAGTTTAGTACCTTTATTTCTGAGAGTGTGTCTTTGGGATGTTACCCTCAGGACCTTCAGTTAGGGAACATGTTGGTTCTGTTGGAGTTCTGTTTTAACACATTAAGTCATAAACAGGTACAAATAGCCGGATAAAACGCATTTAAGGTACACAGCTGCACCTTTGGGGGCACATTTACACTGTTTGACCCCTGTTTTCTCTGGCTGAGGGAGAGTGTGTGAGAGAGCACGTGGGGAAAAGCCCCCCCAGCCCCTGCCTGGCAGCCTGACGGTGGTCCAAAAGAAATCTCGGCGCAGTAAAGTTGTACCTAAAGTTGTGTGAAGTGCTTCACAGCGTCCAGCAAAGAAACGAAAGTGCCTGAAAACGTTCATTCAGCCAGGCCAGCGCTTCACAGGCTGCGGAACGTGTATCAATGTTACACCCTCTGCTAGCCCTGGTGCTAACTTGTAACTTCTAACGTTTGAAAAGTAACTCAGCCTGTCTGTCTGTCTGTCTGTCTTGTCCGTCCGTCCGTCCGCCTGCCTGCCTGCCTCGTCCTGGCGTGTTCTTCCTCACCAACTTTCCAAAACGACCCCTTTTCGAAATAACAGCCAAGTTAATATCAGCCCTGCTCGCCTTTCTCTCTTCCTTCCTTCCTCCAAAACCCAAACCGCTGCCTGCCTGGACGATGCGGTTGTTTGTTTACTTGTTTACGCAGCCGTTAGAGAGAAACAACAGCCGCGCGAGAGCGAGAACATGTGACAACAAAAGGCAGAGAAAAAAAAAGTGAGGAGAGACGCGACAGAGACGCGAGAGGGAAGAGAGAAAGAGCTTTTTTCTTCAACTTACCGCGGCAGGACGAGGCTGGAAAAAAGATGGGACGCGAGCGGCTGCGCGGTAATATTCAACTGTTCACTCTTGTGTACCAAGAAAGCGTGAGCGCTGAGCACACTGTAAACACTAACAATATTACTCCGCTCGGGGACTAACTCACTCACTCTCTCTCTCTCTCTCTCTCTCTCACTCTCTCTCTCTCGCAGGCAGGCAGAGCAGATCCCTGAACAGAAAGCACCGCTTCGAGGAGGGAATCCGCAGCCTTTCACGCCGCCTTTCTTCTCCCGCTTGCGAAAGCGAGATTACACTTTAACGCGTCTTGCGAGGGGAAGAGAGAGAAAGAAATCGCGGATTTAGATGTTGTTATTTTTTGATGTTCCAAGTCCGTGACGTCACATCCACCTGCTGGGTAAACAACAGACCTCAAGCTAGAAAACACGGCGCTGTAATTGGCTTAAAAAAAAAAACTTTTCAAAAAATGGAAAACAAAAAAAAAGAAAATAGGTGTGTTTTCTCAGGAGGGAGGATGTTCACGTGTTCACGTGTTCACGTTTTCACACTTTCTGGCCGCTCCTGAGCTCAAGACAGAAATATTGCAGCCCTGTTCTGAAGTGAACCCGGCTCGGTTCTGAAGCGGGCTAATTGCAAATGAAACGATGTCCTAACGCCCCCAACACCCACCCACCCCCTTTGTCCCCCCAGTCCTCCTCCTCCTCCTTCTTGGCTCCATCCAATGAAACGAGGGGGAAAAGTTCAGAAGAAGGGCAAGCCCACGAGTGAGGAAGTAGAGAAAGTGTCAGACCCCTGACTCGAGCAGGAACACCAACCTCACTGCTCACTTTCCTGAGAGCGGCGAGGCCACTGCACCCTTAATGAAAAGGTGGTTCTTCAAGGGTTCTTTAGTAGATGCAGTGGTGAGTTCTATTTAGAACGGTTTGCATGCTTCAGTGGCTCTTTGCATGGTGAAAAGGTTCTTCAGATTGGTGGAGAATGTGTTGTGTTGTGTGTGGTTCTGCTGTTGTGTACAATGTAGAGCAGTAACAATAGCAGAACACATTTTGTGCGATGTAGAACCAAAACACATTTTCCATCAATCTGAAGAACCATTTAAGCATGCACATGATTCTTGAGTGTTCATGGTTTTACATTGTCTCTACTAAAGAACTCCTGAAGAACCATCTTTTTAAAGAGTGTATATAGAACAGTTCCCTTTACTAAAGAACACTCGAAGAACCATCTTTTTAAGAGTGTATATTGAACCACTCCCTTTATTAAAGAACCCTTGAAGAACAGTCTTTTTAAGAGTGTATATTGAACCACTCCCTTTATTAAAGAACCCTTGAAGAACAGTCTTTTTTAAGAGTGTATATAGAACCATACACTTTATCTAAACACTGTTGAAGAACCATCTTTTTTAAAAGTGTATATAGAATCATTCACTTTACCAAAGAACCCTTGAAGAACCATCTTTTTTAAAAGTGTATATAGAATCATTCACTTTACCAAAGAACCCTTGAAGAACCATCTTGTTTAAGAGTATATAGAACCATTCCATTTACTAAAGAACCCTTGAAGAACCATCTTTTTTAAGTGTGTATATTAACCCATTCACTTTACTAAACAACCCTTGAAGAACCATGTTTTTAAAGAGTGTATGTAGAACCATTCTCTTTACTAAAGAGCGTATACACCCTTAAAAAAGATTTAAGGGTTCTTTAGTAAAGGGAATGGTACTTGCATGGCTCACTTTGATGGCAAGAGCTTAAAGTCACAATGGATTAGGAGGGGAATTCTATCGATTTTCCAGAATGTCCTCAAAGTTCCTTCACTGGGAAAGACGTTCAGCATTTTGATATTTTTGATTTGAAGTGTTTCACTGTGGAGAAACGTACAGGTTGATATTTCTTCACAGTGGTGCTGATAGGAACCAGGTGCCACTGTGACTACAAATCAAATAAAGACATTTTATTTACCATCCAGAGAGCGAACCTTCATGTCTTCTGTGGTTTTATACGCAATGCTGATAATGGTAAAATCATAGTTTGAAAAAACTAGATTTTCAAACCTTCACAAATCTTCACTATAGATGAGTTAAAAAAATTTCTAGGCCAAAATGTTCTTAAAATTGACATTTTGAGGTATTAAACTCTTCAGACGTCTGGTTCCTATCACCGGCACTGTGAACAGTTCTGATTCAGAAAGTATCTTGTGAAAAGTCCCAACAAACAACTCTTAATTATGTTGTTTACATATTGATGATTAAACTATGTACACATTTTGAAAAATTTCCCTGTAAGCTACAGAAACTCTTTTTTTTTCTTTAAAACGTAAAAAGTAGTTAAGCTGTCCCATATAAACCTGCATAAGGAGTATTAACCTTGGTCTCTCTTAGCTGCGTCCTACAGTGGCTTAATGAATAAAATAAATACCTTTAATGCCAACAGATATGATTCAACAAGAGTGATTTAAGAAACAGTGAGAAGTGGTTGTGTGGTGGTTCAATGCGCTGGTTAGTGTTAGGATAAACCTGCAGTCTTGTGGACGGTGGCTCGGTGTCCTTGATCAAGGTCTGAAAAGCTCAGTTCATGCACTTTACTGTAAATCATGGCATTTACCCCAGTACTGTAGCTCACTCTATGGAGACATGCCTGGTTCTTCCGCTGCTGGAGCTGAAGGCCCAGGGCTCTTTCATGGGTATAGAGCGCCACCCTCTGGTGATGACCTGTCATTGCTTTAGATGTGAACAATTAACAGAGCCACACTGGGTGATAGATGCATGTCCAAAAGTATCCAGACACCCCTTCTAATAAGCTACTTCACTACTTTAACTAATTTAAGGGCAACCCACTGCTGACCCAGGTGTTCAATTCTGCAGCTTGTATAATGTCTATAGAAAAGCGCTGACCAGTACAATTGGACGCTCTGGAGAAGCCTAAGGTCACTATGCCCAATGCCAAGAGGGGTATAAAGCTCCCAGCGTTGGCCTGTGGGGCAGAATAACTATGTTCTAGTTAATGATGGAGCTCCACCCAATACCTCTAGGTGTTTGTGATTCAAAACAATGTATTATTATGCATGTGCATTGACAAATCTGAAGAACACTAAAGCAAAGAAAACTGTAGGTTTAATGAAAAGATAGTTCTGTATTGTGTATCTACCATGTATTTGGTAGGTAAGTTTATTTAAATAACACTTTTCATACACTGCTGTCAATCAAAGTGCTTCACAAATGAGAAACTGGTGATGGTGCTTTAACTTCTAATAAAACTTGAGCAAAGAAAAAAAGTCTACACTTCCTTGTTTCTACTCTCATTGTCCATTTTACCAGCTCTTACCATATAGGAGCACTTTGTAGTTCTACAGTTACAGACTGTAGTCCATCTGTTTATCTGCATACTTTGTCAGCCCCCTTTTACCCTGTTCTTCAGTGGTCAGGACCCCCATGGACCCTCACAGAACAGGAACTGTTTGGGTGGTGGATCATTCTCAGCACTGCAGTAACACTGACGTGGCGGTGGTGTGTTAGTTTGTGTTGTGCTGGTATGAGTGGAACAGACACAGCAGTGCTGCTGGAGTTTTTAAACACTGTGTCCACTCACTGTCCACTCTATTAGACACTCCTACCTTGTCAGTCCACCTTGTAGATGTGAAGTCAGAGACGACAGCTCATCTGCTACTGCACAGTTTGTGTTGGTCATCCTCTAGTCCTTCATCTGTGGTCACAGGGTGCTGCCCACAGGACGCTGTTGGCTGAATATTTTTGGTTGGTGGACTATTCTCAGTCTAGCAGACACTGAGGTGTTAAAAACTCAGACCAGCACAACATACACTAACACACCACCACCACGTCAGTGTTACTGCAGTGCTGAGAATAATCCACCACCCAAACAGTACCTGCTCTGTGAGGGTCCATGGGGGTCCTGAGCACTGAAGAACAGGGTAAAAGGGGGCTAACAAGTTATGCAGAGAAACAGATGAACTACAGTCTGTAATTGTAGAACTACAAAGTGCTCCTATATAGTAAGTGGAGCTGATAAAATGATTATATATATATATATATATATATGTGTTTGTACTTCAAAAAAGGTTGGATGTTTGCTTTGTTAATGTAAATTTTTTGTCAAATATTTTCTCAATATTTGTGGAAGGCAGGAAGGCACTGTATATTTATATATGTTTATATTTACATGGATTTATTCTAATGTTATATAGTGTTGTATGTCACTGGAGCAGCTCATTGATCACGCTCTGAGAATTGTATCAGCATATAACAAAACTGTCTTCTATCTTCTGTTCTCTTTCCAAGTTGTACACAACCTTTTACTATTTGCCACCAAGCATTTAGACACTTTACAGCACCACAGGCCACGAGAGAGCTTCATCACCAGACTGATGGCTACCAGGGTGACATCCGGTGTCGAGGGGCTTCACTGCCCTATATACTGAACCAGAAAAAAGTTAATGACACAAACTGTAGCCTGTAGGCACGAGAGAGCTGCATCAATCACAGAGCCACCCTGTTGTGTGTGAGTATACTCCACTGCGACATCATTTCTTCTGCCCCCTTATCTGCTGTAAGTGATACAAACCAAGCTGTTCCACCACCAGAAGAAGAATCTGGGAAAGTGGTTAATTAAATCCCTGTTTTTTGAGTCCTGTGGGGATATTATGTGGTTTAAATACTACCGTGTCAATAGTACAGTAATAAGTACTTCCACCTAATGTATGTAATTACAAAGCATAAGCACAAAACTAGATTTGTTGATACTGCTTACCTGTACTGTCTCTTAAATTCTAGGTATTAACCAGGTAGACTTCCAGAAGGATGAAGGCCTCTTACTACATTACACTGTCAGTGAGGAATATCCGCTGAAAATCCCTTTCAGTGTTGAGCTGGCAGTCTTATAATACTTATAGTCACCATGTTATAGTGTAGACCATATATAATATATATAACATATATATAAACTTATATATCGCTGCTGCCAGGACAAAACCTCGTATCTCCATTTTTGGCGTTTTTCAGTTTTTGACCTAATTTAAAAAGGCCAGTTGGCCTCTATGATGTTTCAAAATTTCATGATGAATGGACCAACAGAAATGGTCCAAAATGACTTGGAAAAAAAGTATTTCTTCATTTACTTCCATTAAAAGTTAAGAATGTTTTTACTCATCCTGTAAAGTTACCTGTTTGGAGATACGAGGTTTTGTTCTGACATG